GCCAAAACCACCAACACCAAATAAAAGATGTGTAAAAGATGTGTGATTACATTTCAGCTGGAGGGCAAATGTTTCTTATGAATGCCATGCCTAACACAATGATTATATATGTATATATATATATATGATTTGATGATGGAGTACGCTATATGATCCAAAGTATGCGGACACCCCTCCTAATTATTGAGTTCAAGTGTTTCAGTCACACCCATTGCTAACAAGTGTTTAAAATCAATCACATAGCCATGCAATCTCCACAGACAAACATTGACGGTAGAATGGGTCGTACTGAAGAGCTCAGTGACTTTAAACATGGCACTGTCATAGATGGCCACCTTTGCCAGAATTCAGTTGAAAATTCTGCCTTGCTAGATCCGCCCCACTCAACTGTAAGTGCTGTTATCATGAATCAGAAGCTTCTAGGAGCAACAGCAGCTAAGTCATGAAGCGGTAGAGCACGCAAACTCACTGAGTGGGATCACTGTAGTGCATAAAAACTGCTTACCCTCTGTTGCATGGCTCACTACAGAGTTCCAAACTGACGCTGGCAGGAGAAGCTTCATCAAATGGGTTTCCGAGCAGCTTAAGAGCACTATGTACAATGCCGAGCGTCAGCTGGAGTGGTGTAAACATGCTGCCACTGGACTCTGGAGCAGACAGCAGATGCCAGGAGAAAGCTACTTACTGCAATCCAAAAAAAAAAAATGCCAACAGTAAAGTTTGGTGGAGGAGGGATAATGGTTTGGGACTATTCGTAGGGTTTGGGCTTGGCCACTTAGTTCCAGTGAATGTTAATGTTAACGCTGCAGCATACAAAGACACTTTAGATATGCTTCCAACTATATGACAACATTTTGGGGACGGCCTTTTCCAGGTCCAGCATGACTGTGCCCCTGTACACAAAGCGAGGTCCATAAAGAGACAGTTTGATTAGTTTGGTGTGGAGGAACTCCTGCACAAAGTCATCCAGAATGATTTCACATGAAATGGGCCATTCTTGAAAAACTTACTGATTTAGAATTGTTCACAGTGGTGGTGAAAGGAACCAGACGTCCAAGACATTGAATGCCTCTAAAATTACCTCATAGACAGTTACTACATTTATTGTTGGACAATAGATTTGAGCTTTTGGCATAAAACTTCATAGCAGAGAGGTACATGTAGGGTGCTAAGAAATAAATAAATAAAAAAAATTCACAAAAACTTTTAAAAAAATATCGACAATACATATAAAACTCAGGTTCACAAGATGTTTTGGATAGTCAATGAAATGGCTATGCATGAGTTTAAGCCATTGCAAACCCTGGTTCCTATCACCAGCACTTTATAGAAATTAGAGTCAGTATATTTCACCATAATTAAGCATTTTACATCATACCACACTGAATGACTTCATCTCAGTGATTGACCTATGCACAAATTTAGAAAAAACGGTTGAATTCCATTTCAAACCATGATTGCAGTGTTTTAAATGAACACACTCCACCTGGATTTAACTATAAATCATCTTATAATCGCTACCTAATTTAGTTTGAGCGTCTGTGCAGCACGATCAAACAACACTGTTCATTAAATTCTTGTATCAGCATAGACTAGTACTAGCATTACCAATAAATACGTAGCCTGAGGTAATGTTCCGGCTCACTTCACTGATGGCCATGTAATTAGCTCAAGTTAGAGCAGAGAAGAACTATGAAATGTGCTGAGCATGGTGTCTTCAGGACTGGGAAACACTGTTTCATACTTTGCAGTAGGAGAAGGTAATATGGTCTGATGACTCATCTTTCTGTCGATCTACTCTTTTACAAACCTGAATGAGTTTTTCTTTTCAGACAGCTAAATGAAGAGTTCAACCCACATTGCTCCTCACTGCTTGACACAGTAGTGGGTTTGGGCTGTTGTTCTAGAGGAATAGACCCAATTCCAGCTAGAAATTGGTGAAAATAGTTCTGTTGCTATTTCAAGGCAGTGTGAAAGTGTTCTGACGAAACACAGACAACCGAAGGCAGCCAGTGCCTGACCACTGATACAGATCTATATGCTATACTGGGCACATGCAGAATGCAGAACAATTAGTATCTCTCCCTTACTGTTGGTAAAAAGCAAATATGTTAAATGGGGACATTCTGACAAAAATGAAAAATGTAACCATCGCTATATCTGTTGCAGGGGTACTGGTGCAAATTTAGAGGGGTGGTGGGTGGGGCCATGTCCTCTCCACTTTCTGAAATTATACGATTATACAATTATAAGATAATTTCAGGGGGCTGCAGGGTGGTTGTCAAAAAAGGACATGGCTGAAAAAGAGCTGTCAATTATAGTTTAAAACTTTAATTAAAGCCAAAACTACTACTTCTAGTGAATAAGCATGTATTTATCATCATTTATCATTTGTAACACAATGGAAAGATAAAAATGCCATTGCAACAGGTAACAAAATTGAATCCCAATTCTGAATATGTATGACATTATTGTTCTTGTCAATAATTGTGTTTTAACATTGACATATAAAGCATAAGATATCAATATGATAAGTGTAATTGCAATACTTTGTTTACACAGCTTTCCATTTGAACTGATGTATGCAAGCTATAGCCTGCTGATATATGTTGATGGTGGTTCCCCCCACTTGTCATACCAAATTTGTACCCCTGTGTGTGGTTGCTTGGCACACTGTTAACTACAGGGTCAGTGGGGGAACACTCACAGAAATGTTAGACTAAAAATTAACGCATCCTCTTGACCAACATTCATCCAATTTGTCAAGGGATCTCTTTGAAAATTTAAAGTAGGTAATCTTGCTCCTGTGGACCCACCATGTACAAGAACAAAGTATATCCCATAACTTGTCAGTGTCCACTAAATGGCTCATGTACTTTTCCAGTATTCTCTTCTTTTGATCTAATCTCGGGCAGTGTGTATGTCAACGGTGTCCTTACCAATCACAAGGCTCTGTGGGTTCTCCTGCCCAAGATTACCGGTGTTACATCTGATTCAGTTCCCACTCAAATTCCTGTTCCTCATTATAAATCGAACCCTCGTGCGCGCACACTCACTGAACAGAAATCAACGGCAAGCAACACTGGAACTACAGAAAGGGGGAAAAAGTCAGAGAAACGGACAAGAGATAGACACCATCGGGAACAATGGCCATTTAACGTGTACTTTCCTGAACCGCTGCTCTCCGTAGTTCCAGTGTTGCTTGCCGTTGATGTCTGTTCAGTGAGTGCAGCACCCAAGGGTTTGAGCTGTGAAGGGAAATGTGAAGCGGATTCCACACCGGCAGCTTTATGGAGATTCGCAAGAATCCTCGCTTAATCGGTCCAACATCTTTATTACAAACTAAGCTTAGATTAATTGGGTTATTTACAGTTGGTACAGAAATCTGGCATATGGGAGCCTTGTGTGGTGGTGCTGGGGGTGTTTAGCTCAGCATGTGAGTGTGGTAATCTCCTCGCTCCAGGGTCCTATGCTTTCATATTTATGAGTGCGGCATCATCAGCAGGCAGTAACGTTGTTTGACTGACTTGCATACTGTGACGTGTCATGGTACTTCGGTACAAGACACATCATCCGTGCCTACAGTAGAGTTGAACCAGAAGGGCACTGCAGAGGCGGAACTGACCACGATAAAAATGATATTTTACAGTTTGGAAAGATGTGTTCACATTTTAAGCAAGGCTGGTATATTTTATTATTACAGAGCAGTGCATTTCAGCTGTTAATGAAAAAAAGGTCTTAGGGTGTTGATACTCTTAAAGTTTTACTTTCCAGTGAGCAGTAGACCCCTACAGTGAGCAAATCTCCAAACAACTCCAGGAGTCTTCCCATGTTTACATTTAATATTTAATGCATAATAAGTATTTTTTACGTGAAAAAGCAAAAAATGTATTCTAGGCTGTATTGCATTCGTTGGCATCTGAGATGCCAGCAGGAGTAAAACAAATTCTCAAAGTAAATGTCACATCTGAATATTTCAACAGTAAAAGCTTGTTTTATGATGTGAAAAAAAAAACACATTTTGTGCTCTACCAACTATATACTCATACAGGCTTCACTAATCCCTGACACCTCAGCTGGTGTTGGTTTGGTTAAGATCACTGGGACCAAGCAAATTATATGCATCAAAATTTACGATAAATTTAAGACCTAAACCTGATAGAGATTGATTATTTAAAGATCCTATATCCTAAATTTTCCTTTTCTTCTTTTTTCCCCTGTGAGTCCCTCACAATTTTTGTGTGGGTTTATGCCCAGAAACAGTTCTTTTTAACATGACCATTAACATGACCATTTCCCAACGCTTCTTTAGTGACATCACAGAAACAACAAATTCACTTTCCACATGTGGACTGTATGCGCTGGGTAGTGAAGAAGACGTTGTGAAACTTTACCAAAGTTTACATGCTAAAGCACACTCTCAAATTTCCAAAATGCGAGAAAAATTTGGTTTTCCGTCATATTGGCCCTTTAATTGTAATTCCCTACTAATACATTATAAAAATGCTTCCAATTCCTTTCCTTCCATCACTGCAACAACACAAATCATAATTAAAATCCTATTCGTAGCCCCCCTTAACATATGGTGCTTTGATGGAGCAAACACATTTTATATTATCCTCCATCTTAATTGGGTTTTGCTATGTAATTACAAATCTTGGAAAATGTTCCTGGAATCAGAATCATCCTCATTTTCACTTTCCATTGTGTATTCTGCAACTGTGCATAGAGAAATGCCTCCCTCGATTAGCTCTCTTTCCTCTCTCACACACTCAATCTCTGCTTTTCTCTCTGTTTATTACTTTTTCATTCATTTTGCCCCTTGTTCGAAAATGGTCAGAAAATGTAGCTACAGTCTATGCTGTCTGTTATTCCCATTAAACTTTCAATCATTCTTATCAATCTCAGTCCCTGCCATCAACATCACATGTACAGTTTCTCTTTTTTCTTCTGACCAGTGCCTTTGCTGAAACTACAGCAAAAACACAAAGTCCCGCAGGTTACTGGGCACACAACTGGCACCGCTCCAGACCATCAGGATTGCAGGCAGGACAGCGCAGCTCACGGATGGACTCGTTGAAGCGGTTGGCCAACATGGACAACTTGCTGCCATGGCACAAGGAACAAGGGGCACTGCCTGACCCTCCACACTGTTCGCAACTGGTCACCTCCTGCAGGGAACAAACAAGCAAGCACATGTGTGTTCCATCAAGAATTGTGTTTGCTCTGACAGCGGAACATCCCACTGATTAGGCAGAGAGCTCATTAGTAGTATTGTGCTGGATTATACATTCCCAGAGTCTTAGATGTTTGATGATTTCAATAACTTCATGCTACTGCTGATATGCTAATATCCCTGGATGAGAACGCTAACTGCCTGATTCAGACTGTATTTACCTACACTCAGAGTGGTAGAGCCATTACACCAATCAAAAAGAGAAACCTGCCTACCAGAGAGGAACACTCAGAGCCTTCTAGGCCTTCAGAGAAGGCCTAATGATTTCTGGGAACTAATAAATACATGTCTGTAATTTTTAATTCATTTTTATTCAATAGAGTCATGCTTGTATTTAAACTCTGCAAGTATTTACTCTTACGTCATTGTTAAGTTCTGGATGGAAGAGTTACATTCTTGAAATGCTCAGTGGAAGGAATTGTTTTCTCTTCGTGGTATCTAGGTAGATACAGCTAAGCAAGCTCTCATATTGTTTAGGACTTCACGAAATGAAGAGAAAGCCTAACATGTTAGATTAACCATCAGCACAATTATGAAATTATAGAGAAATCAACCTTTTTCAAATTATTTCAATTTGAATTCCATCACTTTAAGACTTCATCACTGATTGTTAATAAGAGCAGCAGCCTAATCAGTGAGTTGTGAGGAATGGAAAACAGCGGCAACTGTTACAAGGTAATACATATATGCTAACATGTCTGTCACATTCTTCATGTAAAAAAGTCTTTTAGAAGCTTCAAATGTCTGTGTTCAATCTAGAACTGCCCAACAGTGTTCATGTGAATTGCTGTTAGCTTAGTGCTAACAAACTACTATCATCCCACAGGGACTCTAGCAGAGGTTGACATTAGTGTAGAGGTGTTTTTTCCTCATGTTCTGACAGAGTTGTGACATTTATGGCCCGAATTAAAGGCCTAGCTCCAATAGTCACACTTTGCCACTGCTGCCTACGCTGAGGCAGTGCTACACTGTAGTAATGCTCTAGATGCTAAGTAAAAGCTTACTTTTGATGCTAACAACACTCTGGCTCAATATGAGAAAAAAATGAGGGAATGAGGAACATAATAGATTTCACATGTGCACATAATGCACGAAGACTAGTGCCAGATCATCATCAATGTTGAATGAGACACTTTCTATTATTCAAGACACTTCATGTCTAAACTGCATTCTGAATACTACAAATATGCGTTATGCCTAGTGAATGCTTTTTAAATGATTTAAATGCACTATCGCTACATAAAATTTAAGTTTCTGGTTGTTGGAGTTAGAGGACAAAATGCTTTTAGGAAACAGACTTTCATTAAGAATCTCCATTAAGGGAATAGGTGAATCAAGTACAGTTAGAGCTTTAGACACCCTTGACCAAATTATTCCGAATTTTTGAAGTAAACACAATCACTGCAGCAAACTACTTTTTTAGCAAATGTTAACAGTTACTTTATATACGGATATAAAAAATAGTAATAGTGGCATGAGCAAAAGTCTGGACACCCTACTAATTGGCAAATGTCTTGTTAGTGCTGTTTGTAGCCAGTTAGGACTCCTATTTTCATCTTTCTACCCATTCTTCCATGCAGAACACTTCTAGTACTGTGACATGCTTAAGTCAAGGGACTATGAGGGCCAACCCAAAAGCATCGGCTTGCATTTCTTGAAGTAGTTCATGGTGGATTTTGAGGTATGTTTTGGATCATTGTCCTGTGTCACATTTGCTAATATTTGGTTTCTTCCATTTTCTTCCATCTGCCCATGCAATATATCCTGTGCTACTGACTGCCAAACAAACCAAAGCATAATAGATCCACCCCCATGCTTAACATTTGGCAAAGTGTTCTTCAAATGTCATCAAATGCTGCTCTCCAGCACACCACGACTCCTGTGTCAACTAAACCCTCCTGCAGGTCCTATGCAGGTCCTATAAGTGTCTGGATATTTTTGCAGCCTTCTGCTGCTTTTTAGGCATCAATTAGCTTCATTTTCCTCAGTCAGGTGCTTAGAGTAGCCCATGGTTGTTGAGTGTTAGGTTTAAGGAGTCATCAGTTTTCATCAGCTGACAATTCCTAATGACAGTTCTTAACCTGCTTAACCAGAGTCAGCGAGTCAATGATAATAACTGGAAGTGTGTGTAAACTTCTGCACATTACTATTTAATTTAATAAAAGTAATTAAATGCTTTTAATTATATGTTTGGTCAAAATTCTGCATAGAACTGTAACTAAACCATTTTGTTTTTCCATTAGTTTGTGTATGTTTTGGCTGTGTAATATATTGATTGTTAGCTAGTTTTATGATAATGCTTTTTGCAACTCTGATAGCCGTCTAACGCATGACTGCCCAATGTCCCGTTGTAGTGATCTACCCTGGAAAGTTTAGTTCCAACCCTAGTCTTACACACTTGGTCCAGTAATTAAAGGCCCTCAGGAACATTTCGTCGCTGTCCAGTGAAATCCATGTATCTCCATTTTTGTTGATTTTTACATCTCTACATTTCAACACACCAGCTGTCCTTTACATTTCATGATGAATGGACCAATAGAAATGCTCTAAAATCACTTGGAACAAAATCTCATTACATTGACTTACATTAAAAGGTAAGAGTGTTTTTGCCTTCTACTGTAAACTTAATATTTTGGAGATACTTGTTTTTCATTGGACAACGATGATTTGGTATTAGAGCCAGGTGTTGAAACTACTTTCTTCAGGGTTTCAGGTCACCAGGACACCCCTGCCTAACTTGTCACAGTGTTTTATACAGTGTGATGTGGGCATCTTCACCACTCACGGTTCCAGATGAGTGTTTCTGTGGGTGTTTTGATAAATCGAGGTATTCATGAAATCTGACGAGTATTCAACCATATTGATCTTCAACCACATTGCAATATGTAGCAATGTAATTGCAATCAGGCTCATGCCCAGAGTTTTGAGGGGAAAGATTTAAGCAATTAAACTTAATTCACAGTGTATTGCACCCACTCTTATTAGAGTGGCATTTTAGAGAGACAGTCAGTTGTGCCTGATTTGAACTCATCTTCAGCAGGCAATGTTGTAATGTTCCCTAGTGTGCTATATAATTGATACCATTCATCTCTATTTAAGAGCTCCACAGATCCTCACATAAATCCGTTTTTTTACAATAACAAAAACTTGGTTTAGCAAAATTTTAGAACCCCTTACTGCATTTGTTTGGATGTTTGGTTCATCACACAGCAGAACCACATTATGCAATGTGAAGCTTTCTTAAAGAGATTATCGATGCTTTATTGGAGTGATTTCCAGCAATTGGTGATGCATGTACCCGAGACAGGTGAGAGTTACTCAGGTAAAATCTCCCCAGGTGACTGGTACTGCACCAGAGGGGACGCTCAAGAGCAATAAAGCTTGAGGCACTTGAGCTGACCCACTAGCGCTAAGGGCAGAAGGGCTTGGGCTGCGTCCAGAAACCTTGAAAGTGCTTTTTCTTACCAATCCAGTGCCCAGTCTCCTCTGTGAGACTGCTCATTCTGCTCATTCTCTCCATTCCTCCTGCTCCTTTCCTCTCCCCAGTTCCTCCACACTTTTCCAGGGAGGAGAGAAACCATAGGAAGGGAAAGGGAAGACAGGAGCAGTGGCAAAAGTTTCTGGATGCAGCCATGGGCTCAAGCACCTCTTCAGGTCTGTCTATGCACATGCCTGATCACAATACTAGCATTACGTCCATTTCATGCAGCCCTAGTATAAATCCAAGACGTGGAGGTCCTAACCTTTATGGACACCTTTTGTTTGGGTGTAGGGCTGCGTTCTTCTGCACGGGCACCTTTTGTTTTGTGTCTTCCTTTGGACCTGGACTCCCGGCCTGGTGAGGCCTCTCCTCCCTCCCCCCGACTCCGATGATGGCTTCTACCAGACTCTCCTTTTCTATGAGGAGACCGGATGATCTTCAGGTTGCTGGTATAGATGATGATCTTTCCAAAGTCTAAAACTGGTGCCTGGAACGGAACATCCAAACACAAAGACATGAAGAACACTGAAATTACATGTCATCAGTTAAACTGGGAAAAATGCACACCAAAGCAATGGGTCGAAGCGCGCTTTCGTCTACTTTGAATCCGTTTCTCTCACTGTAATCAGGGAATGCTATGAATAGAGCATCCTTTGAGGGAAGCATGACAAACACTGTTGCCAGTCTTTCGTGACAAGTTTGAGTTGCGGATCTACCGGAGAACGACTGCAGCAGAACTTTATGACTGACACTGTAATAATATGGAGCAGAATTACAAGGTGCTGGTACATAGGCAGCAATGCCCAGCAGGTAATCCTGCCTACCTGTCCAGATACCTAAATAGAAGGCTTTTTTGAGCAGTCATTCCTAGGCATGGATATATGCCTTGTCTTAGATCCATCTGGGATGCAAGCAAGAGGAAAAATCCCTAAAAGCAATCTTGTTTCTTTCACATTCTGATAAGCCACTTTCAGCAGCTGCATGCTAATGATAAATTTTGCTGGAGGATTTGGTCTAATTATTCACCCCAATTATCTGAGAGTGGCATTGTGCACACACATTAAGCGGGAAAGAAAAGCAGCGCACACCAAACAATTAAAGCAAAGCTAAGAATGTCAACCTGTATCCTGAGGCTAGACTGGCTATGGTTAAAAGCCAAGCGCCTCTATAAATAGACTGATTTGGGAATAAGTAATCGTACACTGGAGAAGTATCAATTATGTAAGGCTACAGTTAGGGATTGTAATGCAGGGAAAGGAGAAACTGCCAAGACTTTCTTTGCCGCACTCACAGTATCAGGTCAAAAAAGCCACAACAAAGCAATTGTAAAATGCCGCAGCGTCAAAGCCATGATAAAACGCTGTCACTTATCTCAGCATGAGCACGTTGCAACCATGTTATCAAGACTCCACTAACTTTTTCATCACCATCTTGCACATCTCCATAGGCTGGAGGCCTGTAGCCACTGACTCCCCGGTACACGTTGATCCTCTGAGCAATGAGCCCCGTGGGTGGGTACAGACCCTGGTCCTGCATCTCCTCGAAGCCGCAAAGCTGCCCCATGTCCAGGTGCTGAGGGATCTTGGTGTGGATGAAACTGTGAGGGTACTTCTCCTCAGGACTCTCCAGCTCCTGTCCGTCCTCGTACACGTGCTTCAGCACTCGGCCGCTGTAGGACGAGGCCAGCTTGAACCTCACTTTACGGGGCTTGCTCTCGTACCTGGACCCCGTCTTCTTCTGCGGCTCCTCCATGGTCACTTTTTGGATGTTCTTGGTGTTAAACGTTCTCGAGGACGACCGTGTAGCACCTGCCATCCACGCTGGCAGTATTGCGTGGAAAATGAGGAGAAGTGAGAAATCCAGCCACTCTCCATTGCACCCCTGCTCAATTATTGAGCAGCCAGATCAGGTGCAGAACAGGAGGAGCTGAAACTGAGACCTCTTGCTTTCATCAAATAATCATGGTTGAGGGAACACAGCAGGTGTGTCTTTGTACTAATAAGGGAAGGGGTTTTAAAATATGCTAATCTATTTAAGGTGCTGTATTGATGCATGTTCAGCATCAACCTTTTCTTGTTTGAGTTTATGATATAGTGCGTTAGCAAGTAGCAGGACCTTACAACCCTCAATTTGTGGATTTACAAAATTGAGACTATTTTGAATGTTCTATATTTTTACTGTACCCCTTTAAAGACGTGTTAAAAATGAAGAAAAGTTTAGATATATTTAGTCACTTTATGGTGTAGCACTACAATGTTAGATTTTCTTACAAAGTTACAAAGGGTAAATCCACCAATTTTCAATAATTCTGCATAATTTAATTGTTAAGATATAAACGAAGTCATTCAGAGTGGTTTGAGACTTATCATCTCGGATTTCTTTACAGAGGTGGTGAGAGGAACCAGGGCTTGTGAATACAGCCATTTTATTTACTATCCACATTGACCAGTGAACCTACACATGGTTTTATATGTAACGCAGATAATAGTGAAATAGTGGTGAATCTCGAAAACAGTGTTTGCCTAAGAACAGCCTGCATGTACCTCTATGCCATGAATGGGTTTAAAAAATACGTTTTAGGCCAAAATCTTATCTCAGAACTAATGTCTCAGGCATCAGGCAACATATTTGTAACCCATTTATGTAATAAAGGTGAGGTAGCTTTATGAGGCATTAAAACAAGGTTCCTATGACCACTATTGTGAACACTGACTCGCATAGGCAGTGACTTGGGTTAAATATTGGGAGAATGGAAAAGAATGGTTTGTCCTAATCCAATGACAGCCCGTATATAAAAAAAAATATATATATGGACATGTATTTTTACACATTTGAAATACATGTCAAATACACTGCAGTCCATGCCAAAACATATTCCAAACACGAAAATGTATTTCAGAATTAATGCTATATTAACCAACTATATTATAAAATACATTTATTTTAAAATCTATGGAGAAATATTACACCAAGAAATATACCATACAAAAATAAATGTATGTAAATCTACTTATCAAATACATTTGAAAATGTATAAAAATTTGCCACAATATTTGTCTAATGCACTTAGACAGTCACTAATGTACTGTTTGGAATACCTTTCCAAATAATGAATTTATATTCCAATATCACAATTTTAAATATTAACAAATGAACCTTTAATATGACAAAATCAACTGTTGTAGGTATTGATACATGCAGTTATAATTTGATATCTTGTATATTTGAAATACATTTTATGTGAGTGTCTTACTGCATACATACATGGTTAATGCAAATTACAATGCAGAACACAGAAGTCAGCACAGTTTATTCAGTTCATGTACTTCTAGTTATATCTGTAACCTTTGTTAAAACTATATTGGAGTTTTATATTGGAGTTGTTTAATTCTGGGCTGTTAAAAGAGCAAAAATCATGGGTGAATGTATTTATATTATTAACATTTTTGCATCTGTTAGCATACACTTTTGTAATTATATTGTCTCCTCTGCCCCTCCTTACACTGCGTATGGAGAAGAGCCTGCCCACTGAACTTGGAGAAGGTCAGTTAAGGTAAAACCATTTATCTTACTTTTCTTTTAATTAATAGTTGTCAGTGTAGACTTCAGAGATCTCTTTTCTTGATATTACATAAACATTTGCCCCCCTTCAAGTGTAGAAAGGTCAGGACGAGACCTTAAGCTGGCTAGCAGCAACGTGCCACCAAATGTGCCACACTCTTCTGCCCCTTCTCTTACTATACATGTATATGTATCCTTAGGTTGCCAGCAGTTCAACACTAGGACTGATGTACATTCATCAGACAATGTGTTTTCGAAGTGTTGACACTTTTTCAGTAGCCACGATAAATTTAGAAAGTAGCCCCAAAACAATAAATACATGCATTTTCTAGCTAGCACAGTTTGGTGAGAAAACTGTGAACCAGGCAACCCTGAATGAGGGGAAACAACCAGCGAGTGAAGCATGAGCATGTAGAAAACTGCTTTTTCTGTTTGTTGTAGCACCTCTTCATGCTTAAAACCCCTACTGCACAGAAAAAATTAGCCTTTATTAAAAGCCTTATTCAGCAATGCTGTGCTTCCTTTTTAGCCATTTTACTTGTTATTATGGACAGTGGCCATTTGTATCAGTCATATCAGCATTTAGTGTATATGAAAGCCTCCACAGCATCAGCAAATTTTGAAGATTTAGACTGAGGCCAGCGTGAGGGAGACAGTAATCTAACAAATGGCTGACATTAACCCTTATGCATTCTGCCATCAATCTGGCAATTATCTTCCCAGTTGACTGCTATTGCATTCTGACTGACTGCTAAGTTATTTTGTCTTTTTCCCACCCAGTTTATGGCTGCTATATTACCATGGAGTCATTCATGTGAGAAATTGTTTTGTGTGCTTCTTGCTAAAAGAATCATTTGACTTGTCAAGTCTCCAGCTAGGCTGGACTAAATGATTATTAATCTACTCACTACCTATTTTCAGCTAAGCATGCATTCTCCTGTGTGGGACTTCCTAAGGGGGGCCATTAAAACCATTAGCGGGTTGGTATACTGCTGCCTTCAACCTTCCTAGATGAGTAATTCCTTCATTTCTCTCACTGTATCAGTTCATATCTCTGGAATGAGACTTGATTTGGGTAAAATTTATGTTTGTGTTCCCTGACCACAGTAGGTAATATTATGTGTCTCATTCTCAAAAAGTATGAATGTATTCAATGCACTCAGTGGAGAAAAATGCAGTCTGTTTATGGAATATTGCTAAAGTAAAAACAGTAGTGGAGATACAGCCAAGCGAGTCCCTCATATAGGTAGATACAGCCAAGCGAGTTCTCCTATTGTTTAGGACTTCAAGAGCTGAAGAGAAGTTCTAACATGTTAGATTATCCATCAGCATAATTACACTGTGACAGAGGAATCAACCAACATGACAGAGGAGCCAACCCATCACATTATAATTTACAGTAGGCAGAATCAATTTTATAAGAAGAAAATGTCACTCTAGGCCTTCTGGAAGTCCTAGATGTGTCACTGACTGAATACAAGCAGCAGCCTAATCAGTGGGCTGTTAGAAATGGAAAACAGCAGCAGCAGCTCTATGCCAGAGCTCACTACTGAAACTGCTATGAGGTAAAATATATAGTAATATGTCTGTCACAAGCTTAAAGTAAAACATGTCTTTAAGAAGGTTTAATTGTCTGTGTTTAATCTAGAACTGACAAAAAAAATGTTTAATTGGCATTAGCTTAGTGCTACAAATGACTAGAATCCCAATAACATGTTAGCTGAAAGTAGCATTATAATAGATGTGTTTTTTTCTCATGTTGTGATATTTATGGCTTGAAGGCCTAGCTCAAATTGTTGTGGTATACCACGTCTATACAGTACTGTGCAAAAGTCAGTGACCACCCTCCATTTATTTCATTTTCTAGTCAAACTAGCCATTATGTACAAGTTATTCATCTTTCAGGAGGTATTTCTGAGATTAAATATAAGATCAACTTGTATAAAGGAAGAGAAAAGACAAAGGAAAATAATACGAGTTCAGAAAATTATTCAAATATTCAGAGAAAATTAGACTCCTAACAACCATGCAAGTCCTGGTAGACCGCCAACACTATCACTATCAGATGAACAGTGCTTAAAGCTTACATCTTTCAGTGATCAGAGAAAATCAAGCTCCACTCTTGCTTCAAATAAGGTGTTTCTGTCCATCCATATATATATATATATATATATATATATATATATATATATATATATATATATATATATGTACTTGTTGAAGGTTCAGAAGGTTCAGTGTTATTTTCAGTTAAAAATTGTTTTCTGTTTCTTTCTGCTTTTGTAGCTTAATGGGCATTTTAACTGGCACTTGGATACATGAAGGATGGTCTCTGTGGTCTCTAATTTGTGCACAGTACTGTAGATTATGATTTCTTGTAATAGCCTATAATAGCTCAATCTCACAGCACTCCTGTTGTGCTTTGACAAGCACTACACTATACTCTACTATACATCACTGGGTAATTAGTTTCAGGTTATTATTAGTAGCCTACTACCATTCAGTGTATTATTGCCTAGCTCACTGCTTTCGTTCTTCATGTGCCCTCATCAACAGAGAGGGAGTGGGAGCAGCCATGGAGGATGATGAAATATTCATGTGTGTCTTAAATTATGGGCGAGCGAAGATTGTACACAATGATAATCTATCTGATAATCACAGGGGTGGGATCATGGAACAGAGAGACAAGTTTATTTTTGCCAAGAACAACAACAGAGTTTCTCCTCAATAAGGTGGAGAAAAAGGTTTCCCAGTAGACTGAGCTAAACCGCAACAGAGAGGACGCATCAATTATTGATGTCATTTATCAAACTGGTAATAAGGCATTGAAAAGCGGGAGATGTTATCAGTGGACCAGAACTGACCCGAGCTTCTAAATCAGGCTGGATTTATTTTAGGTCATTCGTCAAAGTATGAATGTGGCACAGAACAGACTGAGGGAAATTTCCACACAGCAGAATTTTAGGCTTAGAATGTTCATCTGAGTTTAGTGTAGCTGCATAGTATATATAATAATCAGACTCAAAAGAACAGTAACCAATTAAAGGGCTCAGTCGAGCCAAAATGAGAAGTGTAGCCATTGCTACATTTGTTGTGAACATGCTTACTTGCCTCTTACAGTGGTGCCAAGTTTCAGGAGTGAGATTTTCTTGGTTAAAGTCTAGGAAAACCCCTTCTGATGATGTATCTTG